GAAGATAAGCAAGGTTCAATATTATTTTTATTTTCCTTATGACTCTGTATGGTCTGAGTTCATCTGACACTAAGGAGATTGCCAACAAAATTTCCTAAGTAATATCTTTCCCTGAAACTCCTCCCCCACACTCCAAAAAAAGAGGCAACCAGAAAGTGTACTCCCAAATTCTAGTTAATCTTCTATATTTTCCCAGGTTTCCCCTAAACCAATGAGAACTCAAGCCAAGTAAGAGGTGACACTTAACAATGCCAGTTACTTTAGTTGTAATATGCCCAATAGAAGCATATTTCTTCCTCTGGAAGTACATTTATTTAACATGGTGAATTATCTTTTTTTGTCAAAATGAGATTCTTACTTTGCCTAAAATGTTATTGCTCCCATTGGAATTGTTAAGTACGTTTTATTTGCTTTCCCGCAAACGTGCAAATGTGTTACAGGCTATAAGGTCTGAATCTTGCTTTTGTAAGCAATTTTCATTTTATCATGCAGTTTAAAGGAGTATTTTTTTTTACTATGTTCCACTAATATAGTAAAGAGAATTGAATGGGTTATTGAATCTGTTTCCCCAATTCCCCTAGAATGATGGTTAGTACAAATACCTGCCAAGCTACTTTAAAAACAAAAGTCATAAACATCTTATTGTATATATATCTTTTTTCTGAATATTATTGTTATAAAACTGTCTTGTGAAAGTACATATTTTTATAATGTATACTATTTCAGATGGAAAAGTCGAACTTGAAGTTTGTGATCCTAACATTATTATAAGAACGAGGTGCTTAAAAAGTTTTTTTTTTAATCCAGTGACATTCACTACAGACTTTTAAGCCATACAGAATGTAGTATATTCCTTTGGTCCCTCATGTAGGTTTCTTTCTAAGGTTCTAGTTTCATCACCTTGAGCTAAAAGAAGAGAGGAAAGAAGGAGGGAATGAAGAAAGGAAGGAATAAAATAAATAAGGAAGGAAGAAAGTAAAGAAGGAAGGAATGGAGGAAAAAAAGGAAGAAAGAAAGAAGAAAAGAAATAAGGAAGGGAAAGGAGAAAGAAGGGAGAGAAAAAAAGGAAAGGAACAGAGAAAGGAAGGGATGGAGTAAATAAGTATTTATTAAGCACCTACTATGTGCCAAATACTGCTGTGTCCTTTACGAATATCTCATTTGATATAGGACATAATCAGTTGTGTGCTAGTAAATGCTTAACAACCAGCTCTCCATTACAACACACACTTTAAAATATAATCTGCATTATTAACATTTCTTAAGTATAAACAATCAACAAAACAAATCTAGCACTGATTGTAATGTTTACTGATTTCTGACACAAAATATGTTTAAACTCAAAATTTAACAGTACACTTAGATGAGCTACTTCAAACTGGCTCCAGCACATCCTTGTAAAAAATCCTTGTCTTACTGATACTTATTATTGAAGATATAAGGAATAAGAATATATAGAATAAGGAATAAGATACACAGAAAGATATCTACAATACAAAATAATATATAACCAATACATTAGAAACATGTACATGTAAAGTGTCATGTAAAGCGGGGGGAAGTTAATGGCTAGGGCTATTATACCTCCAGTATAATAAATGAAGTAGCATTTCATTTAGGACATTAAAGATTGGGTAGGGATTCAATAGAACAAAGGCTCTTAACCTAAGGTCTGTGAACTTTTTTTTAATAATGTTTATATATTTTTATATTTTGATAACTATAACAATGTGATTGCTAATAGTACAGTGGTTACAGTGCTATCCTTGGAGTAACAAAGAAGAGTTTAAATCCAATCTCATACACTAATGGTATGGCCTATGTCATTAACCCCTATCTGCCTCAATTTCCTCATCTGTAAAATAGGGATAATAATAGTCTTTACCTCCTAGGGTTGTTGTGAGGATCAAATGAGATATTTACAAAATACTTCAAAAACCTTAAAGTTCTCTGTAAATGTAAATTATCATTATTATAAGTCATTTGTAGCTTATTTATGCATTTAAAAACATTATTCTGAGACCAGGTCCAAGGCTTCACCACAGTACCATAGGATTCTTTAACACAAAAAAGGTTAAAAATACCTGTGGAATAGAGAAAGACAAGAAACATGGACATTCTATTTTCCCATTCCTAGGATAGCATTGCCTCCTTACCTCTGCCTCTTAGAATCCTAACTTTTCATTAATGCAAAAAATCTGGTGCCACTTCCTCCATGAAATCATCTTTCATTTCCTCTCCCCACCAATGTTAGCAATTTCTCCCTCTTCAGATCATCTAACATGTGTACATGTATATGTTGTATCTCTTGAGAGAATATAAGCTTCCAGAGAGTATGTGTTATTTATTTTTGTCTTTGTGTCCTATGGCCTGGCACAGTGGCTTGAACAAGGTAGGTACATATTGAATGTTTACAGCACCATATTCCAGATGTGAAGAAGAGAATGATCAAAGTCACAGAGACAAAAAAGTGCTAGTTGTAACAGAAAAATAAAGAGTATAGTAAAGTTAGGCTGACCCATAATTTAAGAAGAGAGGAGTAGCATGAAATAGGTCTGTAAAGAAGTGGCAGAATAATGTCAAAGGCCTCAAATGCCAACACATTTTTAATAGAGAGCCATTGAAGTTTTTCAAAGAAAGGGTGACATGGCTGGATCTATACAAAAGAAAATAAACAAACTAACAAGTAGTCTGGCAGCAAGATAAACGATGGAGAGGACAGAGGTGTGAAAGCTTCTTAGAAGGTTATTGAAAAACCCAGATTCATGGTAATGGCAGTGGAGGATGAGGGAAAAAAGAGAGAGAGAGGGAGAGAGGGAGAGAGGGAGACAGAGAGAGAGAGAGAGAGAGAGAGAGAGAGAGAGAGAGAGAGAGAGAGAGGGAGAGACGATGCTCTACCAGGTTGGTAGCAATGGGACTAGAGAGGAGGAAAAAGCTGTAAAATATATTGTAGATGAATAACTGCCAGAACTTCATTGTTGTTCAGTTGTGTCTGACATTTTGTGACTCCATTTGGGTTTGGTTTTTTTTTTTGGAGTGGTTTGCCATTTCCTTTTCCAGCTCATTTTACAGATGAGGAAACTGAGGCAAATAGGGTTAAGTAACTTGCCTAAGGTCATACAGATAGTAACTGTCTGAGGTTTTATTTGAACTCAAGTTTTCCTGACTCCAGGACTGGTACTCTCCCCACTGCACCATCTAGGTGCCCAGAACCTCTTTAACAACTGAAAATGAAAGATGATGTAAGAGAAGGTAGTACCAAGTTGTTGAATATTAGAGATGAGATGAATAATGTATAATTCCTATCTACATGATATCATTAGTAAATATCCAGAGCAAATTTTCATTATATCTTTAGTAATATAAGTGTTCAAGAAGTTTTTCTTTTTTTTCTGTATGTCATAATGCAAGACCTTTTTAAGTGGTATAAGGTGTCCCACTGCCTTTCCATATATTGTAGAACAGATACCACCAATATGTAGATGAAAAAATTAAGCATATTTGAGTTGAACACATGTGTGACTACTTTTTTAAGTTACTATGTGATGGGATGAGCCTTCTTTCTACAGCTATTCAAACCACAAACTAAAAACCTGAAGGTTCATCCTACAGTAATTTCACAACTCCTTAATATCTTCAAGCCTATTTTTCCAGATCAACTATATTTTTACCATTATTTTTTCAGTCATTTGAGTTTTAAAATGTTTATTGTGAAAATTAATTTTTGTGTATTGATCTCATTTAAATCTTTCCTCACTATTTTTGCACCACTATATGCACTAGTTTTGATCACTATATCTATCAACTGGAGCTATATTTTTGTGGGAGGTGGGATTTTTAAAAATATTTTTTATAATTAATTTATTTTTCATTTTCAACATTCACTTCTATAAGATTTTATCTTTGAATTTTCTCCCACACTGTCTCCTCCCCACCCTCTCCTCTTACCCCCCCCCCCCCCCCATGGAGCCATTTCTATTAAAGGAAGTAGAGTGAAAAGAGCACTGGACTAGGAGTGAGGAGATGTAGTTTCCTAACTGTATTCAGACACTAACTGTGTGACCACAAGCTCTATCTGATTCAGTTTCCTCATCTGTGAAATGGAGGGGGGATGTAGCCCGAGATTCCTTTCATTTCTGAAGATCTGTTCTTCACTGATACACAATTTTTTTCCATATCTGAATTTTTCCACCTCTTGCTCAGACCAAGGTTGAGTTTGAAATAGTAATTGAAATATCTAAAACATTTCTCTCTATATTAATTTCACTGTTATGTTACACTACTCTCATTCTCCATGATTTCTCAAAAATGAACTAGTTTTCCATTACCATTTTTTAGGGGGTGAGGCAATTGGGGTTAAGTTACTTACACAGAGTCACACAGCTAGTGAGTGTTACGTGTCTGAGGCTGGATTTGAACTCAGGTCCTCCTGATTCCAGGGCTGGTGCTCTATCCTCTACGCCACCTAACTACCCCTCCACTACCACTTCTATGATTTCTTGGGATGTAATTCATTTCTCACTAACTCATCAAAACATTCTACATCGTTTTTCATGAACTTCTTTCTTCAACAATGTTAATCCTCCTTCTACTTTGAAAGAGAAGATGATAGTAAGATGATAATTAAATAATTCTGCCTTCTTATTCCATAACAAAGGGGAAAATGTACTCCCTCCCTTAAATCAACCTGTCACATCTTGTTCCCTTGTACTTTTGCAAAATAAAATAAAGAAATAATCTCCTTTTCTGTTGGATTAGCATTTTTTGCTCAGCTCATTTTGAGTTTTAAACATTCCCAATATGATACACTTCAGGTTTTCAGTGCTCATTTTCTATCATCTTAAGAAAACAGAAAGTCTAGTTTAGGGTACGGCACAATCAATGTATTATTGCCCCTGAGAAAAGTACTATAGTCATCTGCAGGGTTAAATAAATAGTTAGAATCATCTCAATTAATTTATAACCTATTATGTAACATACTTTATTTTATGGCTACCCACCTTGTACCCAACTGGAAGGTCCTGACAATCTTGAGAACAGCCACTAACTTTCTTACTCAAACATTCATTTATGTGGCAGTTTCTCTCATCTGAGCCATCACCACAGTCATCCTTACTGTCACAAAGACCTCCACTGGGAATGCATCTACCATTTTTGCACATAAAAAATGAACTGTTGCATGACTGTTCTGGAAAAAGAAAAGAAAACAAATGAAACATAAAGAGCATGCCATTGCTTTGTATTATGACTATTCATAAAACATATATCATTATAGTAACTTATCTGTCACAGTTATAGTAAAAATATGTATGATACTTTCTACCAGACGTTATATTTTATAAGGGACATAACAATCCAAGGGCAAATCATATTATATAAGCTTTAACTTGAAAATGGAGACCCCAAACAAATCTCTATAGCAAAACCAATGGGAAAATGTTGTTTTGATCTATAATGTAAAGAATGAATTCAAAAACATGAAGCTAGTCTGACATTTCCCTCAAGTCACAGGTCTCTGAGAAGTAGCATGTCTTGACAAATTAAGAATCTAAAATAGGTAGATAGTCTCGAATTCTTTTCCCTACCTAGAAACATAACACTGAGATTTTCAAGTTGGGGCGGGGGAGGGAAAGGACATTTGTAGTGACCAATAGCAATTTCAAATATAACTAGGGAAAAGGTTTTTTTTCATTTTGTTTTTGGAGCCATTCATAACTTTGTGATTCTAGCACTTGGAATGTTACACATGTTAAAAGAAAGGATATGTAAACTAGCTAATATTATGGATAAACTTGGAATATGTGAATGTGTTGTGTTCTTTAAGACCAGCAAAGTGGAGGATATATTCATTAAAGTGACAGATATACATAACACATCTACACAGACACATATATATGTGCCATAATACATTTTAAATGACATTTTTCATAGAAGTTTGCTGGATTTTTTGCAATAAATATACAACTTCCTCTAGAAAGAATCATATTCTATGTAGTATAGTTGCATAATTAATTTTACTTTGCTATAACCATAAAAATAACCATACATTAATTTCTTCTGTGTAACTCATAACTTCTTTCATGGTCCATTGCCTTCAAACAGATACACACAGGAAATCCATTTTGAGAATAAATATACAAATAATTTGAGTTAATATAATTTTTAGGCTTGAGCAAACTAGATTACTTCCTCCAAATTCCTTATCTGTTTGTTAAGATAGATGCGCTTAAATTTTTCCAACTAGCACTTGATTGGGACTTCATATAACTATAGCATATGCAAATGTTAAAAGCAAATTTACTGTGTGAAATCAAAACTTTCCCAAAACACATGTGGTATATTTTGAAGGACTTATGACAAAAAATGCTATCCAATTCCAGTGAAAGAACTGATCAAGTCTGAGTACAGATTGAAGCAAAATGTCTTCACTTTATTTTTCTTGCTTTTTTTGCAACATGGTTAATATAGAGATTTGTTTAGCATGACTTCATATGTATAACTGACATTACATTGCTTGCCTTCTCAGTGGGTAGGGAGGGGCAAGCAAGAGAGTGAGAATTCAGAACTCAGTTTTTTAGATGACATTTTATACTTAAATTATCAACCTATTTCTTAAAATAAAAGAAAAAGTTAAAGAAGTATGTATAGTATAAATATGTTCTGAACCTGCACTTTTGCACTTTGCATTTAATGGTGCTTCATCAGAATGGTCAGGGCAATCAAAGTCTCCATCACATTGCCACTGAGAATTTAAAAGACATCTTCCATCAGCACAACTGAATTCCTCAGGACTACATTGACGATATCCTAGAGACAAGACAATAACAATTTTTAATGCTCCACAGAACATGTATTCATTATAAATATAACCATTCTTTGCAGTCAACACTTAATTAACTGTGTGTGTGTTATGCAAACTATTGTCTTATCCCTTCTGGGTTGGGAAACTGTATTCTTCAAGCAGGGAAAATGGTTGTGAGAGGCTATGCCAAAACCGAGCTGGTTAACCTGCAAAAAATTTATTTCCTGTAATATGTTGAACAGATGATAAGGAGCCAGGGATGTAATCCAATCAGTTGAGCAATACCTAATTTTCTATTATCTGAATAAACACAACCCTTCACTGGTGTGGAGAAATTCAATGTAGATGGCGTTATACAGCTTTCCAAGATTAATCTCGTTTTGCCACAGTGCAATAAATGTGTTACAAACACTGCAAATGCATGTACTGATAAGCAGTTAAAATGATCAGGCTCACAAGCTGTAATGACTTTTTTTACCTCTAAGTAATATTCAAATTAGAGCAACACTGTTGCTAACCATGGCAAAACCATTAAGGAAGTCACATCTAGGTTTATAGATCCATTAGTGTAAACAAGGAAGAAATCTCCTTTCACCAATAGCAAGCAATTTAGAGACTTTTTTTTTAAGAATCAAAGAGTCATATAATCACCTGAAATACGTATTCATTCATTTGTGTGCTTGTGCACGAATGTATGTGTGTGTATATTTACGCACATATATTCTTTAAATCAGTCTTGATCAATATTATGAAGATATAGATTGGAATTTTTTTTTAATTTTGCAGGAATAAGTATCAGTGTTATTAGGAAATCTTTCAGATGACCATTGACTGCTGATATCTCTTTGGGGAGCTTTTTAAGGCTTTATCTTTCTCCATCCAGAAGCTTGGCATAACAGGTCAAAACCTTGCTTTAACAAAACTCATAATATTCAACTAAGTTCTATTCTGGAAAGAGAATTGAAAAAGGAATCATAAGATGGTCTAAGCATTAAGCTATCTTATTTGTTTTGGAGGGAGTCCCATAAGGCATCAGCTCTATAAGGAGAAGAAACTACTTTGGCTTATGAGAGCATATTCACATCCAACACATTTTAAATTATATATTCGTGTTTCTATTTTTCTACATGTACAATTGGCAATTTATGCTTTAATATCAGTGATACACCAGATTTTAGTTTGAATATTTTTACAAAGACATTTGAGAATGAATTTAATGTAGGATAAAAATATATGAATACTATACTTATATAAATGATTTAATATGTGATGTATATTTTAATATGTAAATATATATTGTATATGTATGTACACATACACATATAAATAGATATATGTATGTTGTACATTCAGTCAAACTGATTATTGAACTTAATGGGATTAGGTATAATTTCTTGCCTAGGATTTAGGTTACATTTCCTCCACCAGTGAGGACTGCAACCCCTCTTTGCTTCAGTAGTTATCCTTCAGGAGTTGCCAAAGCCAAAGTAAATTAGTGCCTGGTAGTCAGCCTTCTGGTGATGAGTGTTTCCAGAATTAGCTAGCCTGGTCCTTAGGGATAGCTATAGAATCCTTTGCTAAGATCATGATCAAAGCTATCCAGCTTGCTCAGACCAGCCACAGTTTACGTTACTCTCATAGCCTTCAAGAATTTTCATGGTTACTTCCACACACTATGAAGTATAAAGAGTAAGACTTTGGTAGAAATTATATAAATAAGGTAAATGAAACTTGAGATGTAGTCAGTATGGTTCATGTCATCAGTACATTTAGTTTACTGAAGCATCGAAGTAGACCATTCCATTTCCCTCACCCATGATAGGTTTGGCCATGCAGGAGAGCACACACACACATGCATGCACACATGCATATACACACAATACACAATTTAGTGATGCAAATCAACCAAACATTTGCCTTTCATAAGAAAGAACAAAGAAAATTGGCATTGAGTTTCCTCTAACAATTTGCTCTTATCCTAGAAGTTGGCTATACGTTGCTATAATAAAATGACATGATTTTTTCCCCACTTTTGGCCCTTAGTATTTTGTTTTGGTTTTTAATCCAGCCCCATCACATCTTTTAAAGACAGTCATTACTTGGATGGAGAATTTCCTAGCTGGGAACTATAGTTATTTATACTTGCCACATTCCAATGACTCATCAGATCCATCTCCACAGTCATCATCATGGTCACAAACAAACTGCTTGGGAACACAGACTTTATTATGACACATGAAAGCATTTTCATCACAGGTATTATTGGGAGCTGCAAAAACATCAGGAGATCAAAATTAGAAAAACAAATACCCCATTATTTACCTTCTGAATAAAAAAATCTTCTTTCTCTAAATTACATATGTTAAGTAAAATCTTTTAAATCACAATTGTTTGGGAGAATTTGCTTCAAATGACAATATATTAAATAAGCTAAAGTCCCAGGTACAGTGGAGGGAGAGAAATAACAACAGCAAAGGATGTTACTATTTATATAGGCTCTATATCAAGTATGAATTTTTTGTCTAGACGAGTGTGTGAATGGTACTGCAAAGCCCATTACAAATGAGGGCCTCTGAGGAAAGTGAAGATTAATTTTTTTCTGCCTAAAACATCTGAACTTAATGAAGGCTTATGAAACTCAAGTTAATCACTCCACTTCTAACTCATAGGCCATCTTTTTTTTTTTTTATTTCAAACACCAGTGTCTTATTTGGCATTAATTCTTTCAAGTCCCTGTAGTACCATTTAATATATCACTGTAGAATTCACTAAATGGGACCCCAGTGGCTCAAAAGAGTTAATTTGCCTCCCAAAGTGTACAATTCACTACAAAGGAATTCTTTTGGGTACCATCTGGCTCCCTGAGTACACGCACAATCAATTAATATGCAGCCCTCAGTGGCACCATTAACCTTTGAAGCCACATGGATCAGTTTCAAGATGAGAATAAATGATCCTAGACCAATATCATCCCAGTAGTATACATACATGTGATCTCAAGTTGTTTGCTTCCTCTCCTGTCCCTCTCAACACACATGCACACAAATTTACCTACACACATGCACACATGTACACAAAGCACATATCTCCTGTAAAAAATTTTAAAAAGGCCTCAAATGTAATATTCTGGGTAGAAAAAGACAGGCAATAAGAATGAGAATTGGTTTAAATCACTTTAATATTTTAAGGAACCATATTCCCTGTTCAATTGTTTTCACTAAGCTGATAAGTCCTACTGGCCTCCCTAATGTGACCTTGCAGATAATCATTCAAAGATCATTTTTTAATATTGCTGTATCATGAAAGCAATATTTTAATATTATAATTATTGCAGCTATCAAGTAATTCCCCGAAAATTCTCCAAGGTGACAGAGGTCCAGAAATATAATACATTGTCTAATTCCTATAAGTATTGATTTGATCTTCAAGCCACATGGATCAACTTCAAGATGAGAATAAATGATCTGAGAACAATGTTACCACAGTAGTATACATATATATGTGATCTCAAGTTGTTGGCTTCTTCTACTTTCCCTCTGTAAACACATTCATGCAAACATACATGTACACATGTACATAAGACACACCTCTGAAAAATAACAATGGTTTAATGATTCTCGTGCCATACCATTTACAACATTTTCCGATGACAAACAACTACATCATCTCTAGGAATTTCATGTGTTTATCAATATTCTGATTAGAAGTTATCTAAGATAAGGACAGCCTAGGGAGTATCTAAAACAGGTAAAATGAAAACCCAATATTATTTCTCTCCTTTGGGCTTAAAAAGGCACAAAGACAGCATGGCCTTCCAAGTAAAATGACTTGTTTTTTCACAGGTTTCATGGGGATGAGGAAATGTGTATAGAGATGCATAAATATGGAGAAATACCAATATTGATAAAGTTATTGAATTAAAAATGACATCTAACATACAAAACCATTACTAATACCAGTGTAATTCATAATTTTGATAATAGTTAAAGAAAGAGAAATTCCAAAGCTCACAACTGAAACATTTTCAGACCAGTGTTATAATACTGCAACAGCAATATCCTATATGATTATTTGTTATAATATTCATAGGTCCAGGAGTAGAGAAATGATATAGTGAAGGAAGATGAGCACAGAAAATCTGAGATGCTTTTTCATTGAGAAAAAGTAAGAGCTTACCACAGCCAGCTGTAGAGAGCTCATCACTTCCATTTGGACAATCCCTTTCACCATCACAAAGCCAGTGCCGAGGCACACAAGCATGGGAACCTGAACAGCTGAACATATCAGCTGCACAGGTCACAGCCCCTGAAATTCAAAATGAAAATGTCAATAGAATTTGAGAAATTTAACTGAAAACTTATTTCCTCTGGGAAGAAGGAATCTAGACTACCAGGAATAATATATGTGTATGTATGTTTGCACCTATATTCACATGTGTGTATACACATATGGGAAAGATTAGATATGTGCTATGTATATGCATATTTTTGCATATATATTTTATATATGTGTAGACATACACACACATATACACACATGTAGACATATGTTTCCATGGTTGTGCTGTATAATTGCCAGATTTGGGATAATACTGACGGTGAATTTGTAGCACATTAAGAATTTTGTAACAATGTACAAGGGATGAGACATAATTTTCTTTTAATTTCTTATTATTATACTTTAAATTCCTCCATGACCTTTCCTCAGACTGAAGGGAGAAGTAATAACTGCAGTAATTCTAATTTTCCCTTTCCTCTACTCAGTCCAGATACAGAACTCCAGAAGTTTACATTGGAATCATGTGAAAAGGGAACTAAATTGAAAGACTCTAGGTTCTATTCTTTTGCTTACTAATAATACACATTGTGACCTAGGAAAAATATATAAATACCTTATTTTCAATTTATTCTGATTTTACTTGTAAAACTAAAGAGTCATTTTTGAAAATATTTGCTAAAAATGACATTTTGGAATTATTCAAAATACACAAAAAGATAATGATGGAAAAATAATTTATTAATTAAATAGCTTTCTCCTATCATTGAAACTAGGAATAAGCAGGATTTGATTGGATTTATAATTTATTTCTTGCTGTGCCCTCACCCAACTATTATAATAAAGAATTTCCTTGTATTTGACTCAACTAAACAAATTGAGTCCTATGTGAAAATTACTTGAAACAGTATAATCTTCAGATATATTTTTAAAGTCTTAATTAATACCTCTATTTTAAATTATCTACTGCATATCTGTCAGTATTTATCTAATATGTACTATCACACACACAAAGGGTTTCATGATATTTCTTATGATTCTCAATCACCCACAGCACTCAAGTAGTTCTTAACAGATTTCACGGTAGTATACATCCCATTTGACAGAAAAGACAAAATAAGGAATGCTAAATCTAATGCCTCTTTCACATGACAGCCTTTTAAGTACTTCTTTTATTAAGGTTAAATGTTTCTAGTTCTTTCAATCAGTTATAATATGGGAATATACTGAGGACCTTCACCATTCTGGTTACCCTCTTGTGGATACTCTTCATCTTATAATGATGATAATTATACCAGTAGCTAACATTTATATACAACTTTATTCTAACATAAATTATTTCATTTGATCTTCACAGCCCTGTCAGAGAGATACTATTATTTTCCTTCTTTCAGAAATGAAGAAACTGAGGCTGAGAGTGGTTATGTGATTTGCCAGCATCACACAGCTAAAAATGTCAGAGAAGGAATTTGCACCCAAATTTTCTTGAGTCCAAGTCCCCTGCTTATAGCACGTTCACTTAATATCTTATCAATGTCCTTTCTAAAATGTAGCATCTAGAAATGAACATAATAATCTACAGATGGCCTGACTGGGACAGAGTCTAGAGACATCACCTCCATAATTCTGCACACTGTGTCTCTCAATGCAATCCAACATAGCATTGGCTTTTTTGTGCACACCATATCATACTATTGACTCATATTGAGATTTCAGTCTGTTCAGCTACCCACACACACATACGCAAATATGCACTTATGCTTTTGTGCTTTTCAAAAGCACAAAAATATATTTGTATTTATGATAGTTGATTTTATTTTAGAACCCCAATATAAAATTTTCCCTTTATCCTTCTTAAATTTCATTCGATTAGATTTGACCTGAAAAACCTAGCCTGTGGATGAGATTTTTCTGTACTCTGACCCTGTCCTCTAGTGTATTTGCTACACTTCTAGCTTTGTTTCAACTATAAATGGGATAACCATGGCCTCTGGGTCTTTATCAAAATCATTGATTCAAAAATGAAATTGTACAATTCCACCGATGTACCCAAAGTACCATGTGTAGAACTGTTAACGCCAGTTAAGAGGAAGTTGGGAGTTATAGTATCGTAATTCTAGAGCTGGAAACAACCTCTGTCATCATGTAATCCAACTATATCATTTTTATAGATGAGGAAACTGAGGCCTGGAGAAGTTAAATGGCTTGTCCAAATTCTTCCAAGAAAATGGCAGAGCTAGGATTTGAACTCAGGTCCTCTTAAGTCAAGTTCCAATCTCTATCCAGTGTACTACAGCTGCTTCAGCTGGGTCTTTTCATGTACATTCAGAAGAAACTTGTGCTTGAGGTGGAATATTTTGAAAGACAAGAAGGATCAATTTTCAAGATTTTGTAAAGGAAAGAATTCAAAAGAATTCCAACATAATAGAAAGGACCACATATGGTATTTTTATCAGACATAAAAACCTAGAAAGCTACTGAACTATATGCTTTTGCTTTCTCATCACTATAAAATCATTATGAGAATAGTCAATGTATACATCAAGGGTCTTCTCAGTCTAAATACGAGGAGGCATCAGGAAAGTTTCCACGGGCATTTTACTATAGATAAATATATTTTTGTGTATCACGACTGACTAAAAAGGAGAAGAGAATATAAGATCCTGCTGTGCTTATTGATTTTAGAGAAACATTTGATTTGTTACAAGAAAATACAGACTTAAAAGCTCTTCTCAGATAAGATTTCCCTCATGTATATAACAAAATCATAAAAGACTTCCTTACAGGTAGGAGTGGAGAGATGGTTAACTACTCAATGACCTGCTGAATAACAACATTATATAAAGTATGACAAAATGAGAAGTATTTTAGAGGTGTTTTCCATTGTTTTTGAGGATGCCCTAGGTGAGATCCAGAAAAAAAGGACTTCCTAAGTCACCAAACACTCCTATTTAAGATGACCACAGCCTAATCTGGTTTACTATGTAATTTCCTCAGTGAAATCTACAATAATGTGGAAGAAAAAAAGATCCCCCTAACCATCCACACTACAAAAGCAGTGTGGATGAAAAAGCTTACTTCTCAGACCACTGAATCAATCAGGACTTGTACCTTGGGCAGGTGCATCAGGGAATGGATAACAAACTGGGTCTAAAACTGACTAGGAAGGAAATGACAGATTCTCAGAGTCAGAAGGGACTGAAAAAGATCACTCTCCCCACCCCACCCCCAACTCCAGCAATAGGTAGTTGGAAATAATTGAAAGTACTGCATGGTTTCTTCAATGTGATCCCGCTTGGGGAATTCCTCTTCAGTTAAGGTTTGACTAGATGACATCCAGTGGCAACATCTAGTGGTAACACCTGGTTCTGGGACTACTTCTTCCAAGCAGTTCGATTCAACTCAGGGATTGGAGAGTCTTGGGGTACCACAATCAAGGCTAGTTTATCCCTGAGGGAAATTACCTCAAGCTCCAAAAGCTTTTGACCCTCCTACACAAAGAGGGAACAAGAATATCTGCAAAGTGTGTGTTATTCACTGATTCTATACCCTGACTTCCCTGGAGGTAGCCCTGACCTGAAGGGTAAGATATTGTCATTTGCACTTTGTTACCCTTTTCTCCTCTGGAGTCCTTCCTAGGATAGAAGATGAGAGAGCCCAATTACTGCTTCTTGACAAAGAAAGAGTTTAGGATTGAAGGAATTTCCGCGCTTGACCTAGTTGGGAAGCTGTACTATGTCACTATGCTAGGAACTTGCCATTTTATTTTTTTTCTGTAGCCTGAAAATCAGTATCTTGTAGTCAAATAATAAAGTTTCTTTCTACCCCAAGTGAATACAAATTCTCTTTCAAGATAGATCACATGTTGAAGAAATTATGTAATGCTTTTAATTATCCCAAACTGCTCATTGTTGCAAAAATCTTACTTTTATACAATATTCTCCTGGAATTCTATATAACTATAAATTATTGAACACTGCCATTTCAGAAGAATAAAAACCATCAATTATCTAAGGGGCAACAGAAAGAATCACAGAGGATGTTAACAAATTGCAATATGGTAATGAAATGAAAAATTACACATGAGAAACAGGTAAAACAAACAAACAAAAAAAGACAAGGACATGTGTGAACTAAAAAAGAAGGCAGGCTGGTCACATTGTGAGAATGAAAAACACCAGGATGAGGAGGGATAGGGGTTGCAATCTTTTTAGCGAGAGAGAATACCTGTGTTGATGAAATCAAGGATGAGCAAAGTTAAAATAAGAAAGAAATCTAGATCAATTTATTTAGCAGGCTTATGTGGTATGGAAAAAATGGCGCAGAGTCACAAGTCCTGGGTTTAACCTGGCTACTTAAGATCTTTTTGATGTTGGGCAAAATCACTATTTTTTTAGGCTGCCGTTACTCCTTTGTAAAATTATGTGATTGGACTACATGATATCTGAGGGCCATTCCAACTCTAATTTTTTTATTTAAAATTTGTTTTAACTATAGTAAATGTGCTAGTTAAAATTTTAATTGTGCTAATATATGGCATAGTTAGGACATTTTTTGACTAAAATATGTATCTTCAGTCCTTATTTCCTCTACTAATAAATGGCAGATACTAAGTTATTTCTTTATTCCTCTGCAAAATAATCAAACAATCGCAACATTACAGCTTACCACAGATGGAATCACTTTCATCTAATCCATCTCCACAGTCATCTTCCCCATCACAAATCCATTGTTTAGAGATACATTTTTGTGAAGAGCAAGGAAACTGGTTCCAAGAGCAAGAGGAATCTAGAAGACATCAATCATTTCTTGAAAACTTTTTTTTTTTAATTTTGGACAGGTAAAGTACAAGTGTTTCTTTTTCTGAATTAGAGTTCTATATATGTGAAACTTTCCACAATAACTCCTTAGTTGTAACCATTTTAGATTGTTCAAAACCCTAAGCACTTTTTAAAAACTTATTCTACTAAATTCTGAGCCTTCAATAGTCATTTGCTCTTTCAACAAATATCAGAAAGTTAAAGGAACAGCAGCTGAAATGTTCCTAATCTTATCTGTTCCTAGCCTTTAACATCTTTTCTCTTATTCTCATCTCATTGTTCATTAATAAGTTGTGTTCTAAGATGCATAAAATGTTAGTGATATCAACTGCCTGCATAAAACTCAAAAAGTTACTAATTATATATGTATATATATACACATATATGTAAATATATATAATCACCTTATAATAGATCCATTAATAAATTACATTTTCTATTTTTCAAATTAAAATGTTTTTATATTTTTAAAATCTAACTAAATGCAATTTATAAATTCTTTAAATTTACAAAATAAAACAAAACTAAAATTAAAAGTTTCAAATAACAAATAGTGATAACAGAACAAAAAAATTAATATGGAGGGAAGACTGATCTCAGGTCAACCCAACGGGTAATATAACTGGAGGAAGAACAAATTTGATATTTAGGTACAAGACTGAAAAAAATAAGAAAAGGAAAGTGTAGTGAAAACACAAATTATGTTGATACAGAAAAAAAAATAGGGGTTGAGAAGTGTCATCAAACAAGCATATACAGAAAAGACTTGAAGCAGGGAGAGTAAATTCATAAAATTAAATTTCATTAGCAAAAAATCTTATTAAAGGGCCTAAATATTATTCATTTTACCATTTTCTATATGGAAAAATATTTTTAAAATAAGACAATATGTAAAATTCATTTTAAAGTTTCAATTATTTCTTCCATGCGCAAAAATCAATGTATTTTCCACATCTCTATTTGCTGAGGCATTCTAGGTGGTACAATGATAAAGTGTTGGGCCTAGAATTAGAGAGACCTGAGGTTATTTCTGCAGTCAGACACTTACTAGCTGTGTGATCCTAGGCAAGTCACTTAACTTCTGTCTCAGTTCCTCAGCTACGAAATGGGGATTGTACTACACCCGCTTCACAGGGCTGCCATGAGGATGAAATGATGTAATATTTGCAAAGAGTTTAGCACATTGCCTGGCACATGGTGCTTAAAATAATTCTTGCTTCCTTCCTTCATCAATTTCTTTCTATCAAGATCTTTGAGGAATTGTCCCAACTTTTCCTTTAAGAATTTTGATGCTATGCCAATTGTTATAGATATAATTGACTGTTTTTTTAATTGTTTGTCATGACATTAAGCATAATGCATTTTTCCTCTTTATCACTGACATCAATCCTATAAAAAATCCAACCACACAAACTGCCTTCCACTACTAGCAATGCTATTCTCCTTCCACTGTGAGTTGTATTGACATATTGTTAAAGGTCCTTTTTCAGTTGCATCTCATCTCAATTCTCTTGTATTGCATGTCATTTTCTCTCACTTCCCCCCCTTGTCCAATTCCAAATTCCTTGAGTTTATTTTTGCTGCTATTTTCTGTTTCCTTTGTTTTAATTTTCTCTCTCCTGGTTCAGATGAAAGGACTTTCAAAATCCTCCATCTTCTAATTCTCTTAATTTCAGTCACACAAACTTGTAAAACCCCTTTTACTAAGTTGGTTTTTTTTTAATTCATCCTTCTTTATTATCCCTTTTCCCTTCTAGGATACTCTAGAATCTAGGTATTAGAAGGTCAATTCTCAAAAGAAGTGCAGGGATGCACTTTTGTTATCTGAGTCCCAAGGGCCAGGTTCTTTCATTGTCCTCTACTTGATCCCTTTCCTCTTTTAATGACTTCCCATTCTCCCCTTCAATCTAAAACCCAAGGGTAACCTGCTCAGAGTTATGCATCTTTGAAGTTTCAATGTCATTCTCCAAAACAGGAGTTAATACTAAGGAGCATGACCTTGGCTTAAAAAAGCACAAGCTCTGGAAGGTCCTACTTACCAAGAAAAAGCTTTTAATGTGCATCTAATAACTGAAGAAGGAAATGGCAAAACACTTCAGTATCTTTGCCAAGAAAACCTCACATGGAGTCTCAAAGAGTCAGACGCAACTGAAAACGACTGAATGTGACTGAGCAACAATTATGGACTTTATTTCTGTTATTGGAGGAAAAGCTTTGCTAAAATCAGAGGGACTCGTCACCATGATGGGCATAATATATTAAGTTCTTAAGCCATATGTACTCTCAAAAAACATTTACAAAGGTATAGCACAGCTGTGATCTGCGTGAGTGGTGCGAGTACCTACTCCTACAAAATTACAAATCCTTCTAGTGCTGAAATATTGATCTTGACAAATGAAATAATGAACTGTTAAACCCTGTGAAGACCTGACGCATTAACCTAAACTGTCTCCACTATACACCTACGACTGCTGAAAAACGTACCTGAAAATGAGTAAGGCTAAAACTTAATCACGGACGCACAAATAAATAAAAAGATATAACAATTTAATGGCTCCCTTTCAGGAATTATGAATCTACATAATCTATTTTTAAAGTTCTCTCTTAGTCCTGTTGGGAACTTGGCTCTAATATAAAGATATATAGCATCTTAATCAAATAGACTATACCTTCACATTTCATGATGACATTTACTTTTAAGCGAGTTTGACATTTCATAAAAAAAATCCATTTTTAATCATTTTCTACTACTTTCTATACCACAGTCTACTTTATTTCTGCTAAAAAATTCAAAGGTATTGAATACATGTTTTCCTACTAGTAGAAAATGCTTCATTTATTTCCCTAGATTTCATAAAGTCCATGTTTTTATTTAGCCTGGAAAAAAAAACTAGTTCATAACTGCGTATTTTTTTTTCTACATATAATCCTTACTGAACAATAACAACAAACTTGATACAAATAAACTGTGGCTTAAGAGAGGGGAAAAGTGCTCACCACAGTGGAATTCATCAGCTCCATCTTCACAGTCTTTCTGTCCATCACATATCCAGGTGTTCAAAATACATCTTCCACTAGGACAACCAAAATAATTCTCTTCACATTTGGGTTTGCTTTGAACTGTGATAAAATATAGAATGCAATATCAAATTAAATAATTTAAAACCAACTATTTTCTCAATGTCAGAAGATAAATAAGTATTAACAATTATCTTTTGTATTCAGGGTTTGGGGTTGGAAAATGGGAAAAGTGTTAGAGTAATCAAAAGTAAGTGAAGCAAAAAAAAATCAAATTATTTTCTCTATCTAGGGTCACAGATTGAAAGAATTGACTTATTTTATACACTTTTGTATGGCAAGAAAAATATATTTTTAAGAGCCTATGAATGGTTTAGGAGTGAAATTTTCTACTACTGAAAACTGTTTATTCCATTAATTGATTCCCTGAATTTTTAGAATATTCCAGAAGTATTTAAGCTTAAGTATTGTCCTGAAATACTATATTTTTTTAAAAAAAATTCATCAATCCAGTTTATAAAGAATTGATTTTTTTTCCTTTCACCTGCCATCACTTATGGCCCCAAACCCAGTTTGACATAGACATAGCATTGCTCCTAGCACTGATTGGAAAATTGTCAGTTGGCTGACATTTTAACAGCCAGCATTGGAATATATAGAAAAGAAGGGGAAAAATGATCTCTTGTCCCTATTTTAACATGACTGAATTTTCTACTTTTTAATTGTTTAAAAGGAATCAATATTTCAGTTATGGCAAAAGTTAATGTTTTTACTATCTGAAAAACTAAGTAAAAAAAAAATCCAGTCTCCCCTCCCTCCACCTCACCATACACACTTTCAAAAGCTTTTGCTGGGTTTTTTTGAGGATATATTATAGACAGAATAATATATATTTAAATCACTATGTTCATGCCAATATGATTATGAAGAAGGAAAACACAAATATACACATACAACATTATACACAAATGCAGTATAGTCATTTCCTTTAAGATTTGTGGTTGTGTGCAGATGAGATGTTGAGTTGAACATTTAGTTGAACTAAATCCTGGCACCCTTTTCTCAGGCATAAAACCACCCTCTCGAATCCAAATGTTATGAATTCCATCAGAAATTAAAAGTTTTCTTTTCATCAAACCCTTCCAAAATAGCCCCAGATTTGTCCATCTGCTCCTCAGTATGGTTCTGACATACTCTCCAACTTGGTGTCTTTTTCTTGACCCTGACCATCCATTTCATGATCTTACATCAGTCAGTTACAACTGATCTTGGCTTCTAGTTCATCATCCCGAGGCTTTGTGCTTCTCCTTCAGTGGGAATCATTCTGCCTTTTTCTTTCCTGCTTCCCTATCTCATTTTCACTGCATCCATTTTTCTTTCTTTCTTTCTTTCTTTCTTTCTTTCTTTCTTTCTTTCTTTCTTTCTTTCTTTCTTTCTTTCTTTCTTTCTTTCTTTCTTTCTTCTTTCTTCTTCCTTCCTTCTTCCTTCCTCTTCTCTTCTCTTTCTTTCTTTCTTTCTTTCTTTCTTTCTTTCTTTCTTCCTTCCTTCCTTCCTTCCTTCCTTCCTTCCTTCCTAACTTCCTTCTTTCCTCTTTTCCTCTCTTTCTGGCAGTCGGGGTTAAATGGCTTGCCTAAGTTCACACCCTAGTAAGTTTCTGAGGCCAAATTTGAACTCAGGTCCTCCTTATTCCAGGTCCAGTGCCCTATCTACTGCACTACCTACCTGCCCCTCACTGCAACTACTTCAAAATTATTCTTCTCACAATTCTCTAATCATATTTACATACCCCTTGCTTATAACTGATGAAACTTTCTTGCTTCACTAAAGCCATTTGATGAAACTGCCACATTATAGAGCGCTCTTCTTCCACTTCTCAGTTTTTTTCAGTATTATCTATTCTCTCTTTCCTTTCTATTTGCCTTGATTCTTTTATCCTTATTCAGCTAATATCCCATCATTTTCTCTTTCATGGCCAAATAGTTTGAAAAAGCAGTATGCACCAGATGGCTCCATGTTCTTACCCACACCCTTCCTCCTCTCTACCTTAACACTTTTCAATTTGGTTTTTGTCTCCACTATTCTAATGAAACTCAGGGCCTGACACATAGTAGGCACATTACAACTGCTCATGGATTGACTGCTTTCCAAAAGTCCTCCAATGACCTAATTGCCAAACCCAATGACCTTTCTTAGCCCGAAATCCTAATTTGCTTCAAATGAAAATGTTAACTGCTACTTCTGCTGAATATTCTCTTATCCACTGGCTTCAGAGACATACAGATTACTGGATGCCCTCCTCTTTTAGTGTGCTGGTTCTTAGACCTCTTTGTGATACCATAAGATGAAACATCAACAAACCAACTAATATGAGTAGAAGAGAAAGAAAATAAGTGCTTATTAACTGTAAAAATTAACAAAATTAAGGGAAAGACAAATTGATATTTTGTCTTTGATCTCTGGGTGACTTCTAGATCTTCAAATGTGTATATGATATGTCTACATATGCATTTCTTTGATACTGTAAATCAATCTGCCCTAAGCCAAGCTTATAATCTTTCTTTCACGATATAATTTTTCTGGCTTCATTTTTGTTTGGGGTATCAAATCAGTCTCTCATATTTAAAACTTCAGTTATCTTTAATTCTTCCTTCTTCATTTCTCATATCCAGTGCTTTACTAAATCCTTCCTGTCCATTCCAGCCCTTTCATTATTCTTACGTGTATTTCCATTTATATTTTCCAGTCAGCATTCTCATTACTCTTCACTTGGAATATTGTAATCTTAATACATCTCTCCCTCAAGGAAAGACTTAGGGAAGAAAGATTCTGAATGATTTTTGATGACAAATAATTGACAAAATATTCATTACATAAAACAACAGTACTCAAAACAATATGTTTTAATAGTTTAATGCTTTCCAAATCTCAAAGGACTTTAAAAATGCTAATTGTTACTGCTACCGTTGGTCCTTTAGATAGAGCACTGAAAGGTCCCTGTTCTGTTTCCAGTTTTTCAAGAACTTAAGAGCAAGACTACTAAATTTCTTGATGCATGTTTCCTCAGTTATTTAAAAAAAAGCTACAAATTGGAAATGCAACAAAATAAAGTAAAACTTTCTTGTGTGATATTTTAGCTGCATGTTTGCAAGGTGGGAGTCAGTGTCATTATACAATGTAGTGCTAAGCACAAGTTTTTTGCTAGATTTTCTGAGTGGAAAGGCAAGAATCACATATTTTAACGATTTTTATGCATCAATTGCTGATTTTAAAAAGACTCATGATGAACTTAAAACATTAAAGGCAAATGATCTAAAGATAGGGTAATTTTCTTGAGAATAATTTGAATTTCCATTAGTGATCACTTACATAACCCATTGAATAAGACAGAACAGCAAAAGTAAAATGAGATGGCTACTTTTCATTACTTCCTAATTTGCATTTCCACTTTGAATACACAGATTTAAAATGAATGAATGGCTTCTGCACAGCTGCTCTCTCAATCTTCCAAGTGCAGGTTGTTTTCCTTTCCACAATTACCTGGGCACTTTAATTCATCTGAGTAGTCTCCACAGTCATTAGAGCCATCACATATCCACTCTGGCAGTATACACAGTGAAGTGGAATTACACTGGATGAATCCTGTGGTTTTTACTCCTAGTTTATAGAAATGTGTGCAGTCTGTGTTACCTAGAAGGAAGTCAAAAGGAAAAAAAAAAGTAAAACATTCCATTTGCAGGGATTATGAGCCTTCTGTTGAGGCCACCGACACAAGGTTAAAGAATAGGTAACTTCACTTACAGAAGTAAATATGCAATTATCCCACACCACAGGGGTTAATTACATATTAGTTCTGGATGGGGTTTCAGTACGAATTTGGACAAGGTTCAGTACAATGCTAAGGATACTAGAGCATGAAAAGAAAATGTAAAGAATCTCCACATCTTACTGCAGTTCTTTTCATCTGAAGCATCTGCACAATCAGTGTTCTGGTTGCATCGTGCTGATTTTGGAATGCAAGTCCCATCTGCACAGCGAAACTCAATAGCGGCACAGGTTGAAACTACAAAGGAAAAAAAAAGTATACCTACATGTATACAGGAGGCCAAAAGAAATACTGGCACTGCTTATTAAAACAATCTTAATGAAACATTAATTTGATAGAAGTACTCCAATGTATAAATCACACTTGACTCTATCATGGTGCCTTATTCTCCACTCACCCTGGCTCTAGTGCTTAGTTCAGTGCAATTTAATTCAACCTACATCTACTGAGAGGTGTTATTCAGGACTCTGGAATGTACAAATTTTCCCACTGGTCATAGCACTAATGTCTGTAGTCTTCTTGGCATTCCAAGACTAGGTATTAAAAGAGAAGCTTTTCAATACCTCTTTAAAAATGGTACCATAGAGAGTGAGCTGCTAAGTACCGTCAGAGCATGCTATGCCATGTTCCCTCCTACTTTTGAGCTTGATATAGACCATATGACCATGTACAGCACCAAAATACTTATATCTGGCATGTCCTGGCCGTCTTGGTGAACATTATGCTAGTCCACATCCTTGCTAAGCTGATGGGAAAGCCAGGTTCTGTATATTACTATGCTATTCACAGTGGTACAAAATATAGAGGTAGTTCTTAACCAAATATTCCTGTGTGGATTGCTTACACACCTATTACTGCATAATTGTTTCTAGCAATATGTTGTGAACAGGTGCTTGGAGTGCTACATAAGTTAAGTTAACCTCAGTGTGATCTCTGTTCCAAATTCAAATTTTCACATGTTGATTGTGAGCTAATGTGCAATGTGAAGGGCTTTTTCAATAATAATGCTTGTACTATTGTTGATATTTTAAAGAGCTTAATTATAAATAAAAGCTGCATCCTTAGAAGCTGTATCAGTTGCAAATGCTTTAAAATGCTGTCTTAAATATGCAAATTTTCCTCAAGGGTGTGTATGCCATTTGCTTGTACTTTATAATGCACTGCTTTTATTATACCTTCAAATTGCATCTTTATTTGTGTTTAAAGGATGATTCGAATAAATGTTTTATATGCAATTTGCAATTGTAATTATCTTACTTTTACCTCATTAAAAATATCATCCTAATACACAAAACAATTGTCATTGCCAATAGAGATAAATGCATTGTTTCAAAAAGAGGAAAAGGAATATGTCTCTGAAACTATTTTTATTTCTGAGAAAGAAAGATAAAATGTAACCACTCTCATCTTTTACATTAATCTCCTATGTGCATTCTCTCTATTGATTTTAAGGAAATTAATGCTCAAATGTTTTTTTTTTCCTTTTGGAAGGGAGCAGCAGATAGAAAATCCAAACTATAGATAATATTAACAAAAAAAAACCCTTTATGTTTCTTTGGAATGTGTTATTTGCAAGCAGTGCCCAATTTATGAATAGGCTGGGCTCCAAAATCTCATTAATAAGTCAGTTGTTTGGAAAATGCATTTTCCCATAGAAACAGCATTAAGTTAGGTTCCTAGGCCCCAAGTCGACTCTGAAGAGCCTATTTAAAGCATTATGTACTTGAAATACGATATGAATAGCATTAATCAACCAACCACCATATATATAATAATGTTTTCATGGGGAAACACATCCATAGTTCTTATCTGGGATACAAAGCATCAGGATGGAGAATGAGGACTCTCCCAAAAAGAAGACACTAGTAGGGGTTTCAATGGAGAAGAATGAGTCTGATAAGGTTTGCGTATATAATAGGTTCAGAGACAGGAGCTAAAGTATAGGAATCATAGAAACTCATGTGGAAGGGACTGTTGAGGCTGGGCACCTTTGAGGAATAAGGGGTTCAAAAGGTGGCATGTAGGTCAGGGGTTGAGGAAGCTAGGGAAGAATGGCAACACAATAATTATTTTCCCAATTTTCTCTACCTTCTCCTTTTATTTATTTATTTGTTTGTTTGTTTTTCTAATATCAGTCTATCCACTGAAGACTCCATGCCTCACCCCTGGGGTGAGGTGTGAGTTATAGATGATAGGGGAAAAGGGAAGAGTAACAATGGGCAGTGGGGAGGAATCAAGGTGACAGTGCCCTCTATTGTATCAAAAGAAAGAGGAGAGGGGCAGCTAGGTGGTGCAGCGGGTGGAGAACCTGCCCTGAAGTCAGGAGGACCTGAGTTGAAATCCAGCCTCAGACCAAACACTTGACACTTACTAGCTGTGTGACCCTGGGCAAGTCACTTAACCCCAATTGCCAAAAAAAAAAAAAGGAGGAGAGTACAGAAAAGAAATCTGTAGCAGCGGCTGATAGTAAAGACAAACTCTGAGTAAAGGATTGTTATATTTTTCCAAGCAAGCATACCATCCTAGTATTGTTGTGCTCAGTTTAATAGTGAAATCGATTTCTTCATTATGGTTATTTTTAAGGGGGAAAGACTATGGACTCTCTCACTTATCAGGTGAATAAGGAAGCTTAGTGACCAATTCTCCTCAAGTGATAAGGCACTAAAAAGGGAGAAAGGAAAAGAATACTATCCAAGTAATAGTAAGTCAAATAAAAATAACTATGTCATTCGTTTCCTATATTCTGTGGTAGAAAGTCTATATATTGTCCTAAGACAACATGAATGAGAATATATGTCAATACCAAGAACGTGAATGAGTGTAACTGGTTGCTTAAAGTGGCAAAAGAGGATTGAAACTGCCCTAACAGATATTTTCCTCATCCTTTCCTTGTCCTCAGTGAGTTGTCTTCAAGTCAATTGTGATTTGACGAAACAAGATACCAATTCTCTCATTTTTCTTAGTATCTCTATACATATTCCTTGGAAATAAACCATGTCAATTTCTCATCTCAAAGCCTTTATGCCAGCCAGCCTGTGGCTAAGCAAGACTGACAATGAAATACACACACACACACACACACACACACACACACACACACACACATACATAATTAATTTGCTGTGTTATATTTCTACTTTTACTTTCAAATTAATTTTATTTTACCTCATTTTGTTATCTAGACTGTAACAGAGAAATGTCTACACCAAAAATAAGTATTAAAAAAAGCCACAAATTTCCTTTAAATCAGTTGTTCTCTCTATATGAAATCTTCTAAGTTTTGTTGTGAACTTAAGAAAACAGCTTGCGTTTCTCTTCTAATGGTCTTAAAAGCTATTTAATCCTCCAGGCCACCCAGTGGCACTTGAGCATAAAAAAAGAAAAAAACTTTTCAAGAGAAACAATTTGCACCCTTCTCAAAAAGAAGATCAGGATGGATATGTAGCATTTCTATTTTTAGTCACCTGTGTACCCACATAAATGATAGGGAAATAAAGTATGACAAAACCTCTGAGGAACTCCTTGGATATTCCCCAAGATAATATGACTACCAATACTCAAGAATTTTATTCATGAAATAAATTTATAAAGGTAGATGAACAAAATATTCATTAGTTTTCTTTAAAAGATAAAAAGCAGAAAATAAGGCTTTCTAACATCCCTTTGCACCCTGAAGCCTGACGCTCTGCCCTGATGGACGCATAAAAAATAACATTAATGATAGCCAGAAAAGCAGCAATCACTTCTTCTTATGGCTTCAATTAAGCAAATTCCCACAAAATCCTTTCAAACTTTAATGGGAGGTAGTGCTTATAGACTTATTTTGTACAAAGTCACAGAGAAGGAGTTGCTCAATACTAGTAATGAGAGTTTCCTCAACATGGGCATTTCATAGATTAATAAAATGACAGGTAAAGTACTATAAACTCTATGAAGTCCTATCTATTACTGTATCTATAAGTCTTTATGAGTGTATGTATAAATGTGTGTTTGTGTGTTGGGGAGTAGGGTGTTACATGCACCAAGAGAGATGACCAAGGAATAGGGTTAGGGAGGGGCTAGGTTCCAGACACTACTCTTCCATTTCCCCTAGTTATTCTCTGATGTTGTTTAATAATAACACCACAGAGTCTGTGCTTTGTGGTCTAGTGGAATTATCAGAAATTAAATCAACATCTTATCCAACATGATCTTGGGAAGAGGTACTGTTATAATTCTTCTGGAAGCAAACGGCAGAAATGAACTATGTGTGGCTGAACATTAAAACAAAAAGATATCATAATGACTCCTCTTATATTGGCAAAAACTGAATACTTGTTGATTTTGAGTGAGGTTTTCAAGGCTTGATTAAAGCTATTAATTCCCAGGAATGAATACAAATTTGTTTTAATTCCTACAAGAATACTGTAATTATATACAACAAAGGCCTATGCCCAGTTAACATTACCCTATGCTGACATCTGCAATCACGACATGGAACTTCACTTCAGCAACTACGTGATTATTATTGCCATTAATATTATCATTATTTATTATAATACACCATGACTGATGAATAAAAAGATAAAATTTGCAAATTTACTCATTGTTCTTTCCTGCTATTCACATATTCACACTGTATCAGAAATATCAATTATGTATACTGGATCTAGGTAAAATAAAATCATTTAATTTGAATTACAATTATTTTAATAAATGCTTATTGACATTAGGAAAAATCAAAACAGTTTTTGTGTCTATTTTTAATTCTTCTAGAAATAATACCGCTTCATTCAGTCAATCAATAAGCAGTTGTTGCCTTCCTGCCATATGGTAGGCATTGCAGTTTATAATCTCAACCAAACTAATGGGTTTTTTATAAACCATTTTTCTAACTAAACTTTTTTCCTCCCTAAGGACTTTTTACGATAGCTTAGTAATTCTTTTATATTCCTGTTGATAATGATTTTTCCTATGCATATATCTATTTCTTAATATTCTATTTTCTATTTTTAAAAATTTTCATGACATCTCCTAACCCTTAATTTCCCATTAATTAATTTTATTTTAATTAATTAATTAATTAATTTCCCATTCCACTAGCTACATATAAAATAAATTTTCCAGCCCTTTTCCTGGAGGTTTTTTTTTCTTTTTCTTCCCTTTTTTTCCAGAGTCATAGCTACTTGTTCCACCTTTGTTATCCCTAGCATTTTGAGTTATTAACCAAACTACACTGTCTCCTTGGGTTCTTTTTCACCTACATATGAAATAAGCCTATTACTAATGCTAGTGTTTAGGTGTGTTCTAAAATTATGCCCTAATTAGCTCTACCATGTCATATTTTTTATCTTAAATGATAGGCTCAATAAAATACAGCTGTTTATATAGTATCAAGCATATGGCACATAAAATAGAGCAATCCCTAAGTCCATCAAATCAGGCACCTGAAATTGAGTATACCAATGCTACTTCGCTAGTACCTGATAAGAGAACATGATTTCCTTGACTGGTTAAAAAAAGTACCTGAGGCCCATATGTGTACATCATCTACTCACAGAGTTAGAAAAGAATAGCCCAACCTGATCATTTTATGAATGAGGAAACTGAGACTCAGTGAGGTTAGGATAACCAGGAGTAGCATTTCTAGGATTTCAAATATAATAAATAAATATAATTTAATTAATAATTGTATTATATTTATAATTAACTATAATAAATAAAATTTCAAATATAATGATAAGTAAGAATTTATCTTGGAGGTAAGAGAGAATCATTTATCTTCCTCCCTGCCACCGTCAAAAAAAGCAAAGGGAAGAGGGTGAAAGGTGGAACAGGATATTGTTTCCCCTACCCTGCCCTTTCCCTATCCAGCAAACTCTTCTCAGACTTAATATTGAATATTTTCTTTTCGTTTTTGAGGTAACTTTCACTTTTACTTTCTAACATTAAAAAAGATAGGAAGAAAAGAAAGACATAGAGTATGATTCCATGTCTCCCCCAATAATAAATAAATAAATAAAACTTTAATAAATATGTTTGAAGATTAAATTACCTTTTAAATCAGTCAACAAATATTTATTGAATGACTTCAATTTACAAGTCAGTAGATTTGTTGAAAATAGAGATTACAATAGAAGATCAGAGTCTAATAACAATAATAATAAAGCTAGCATTTATAAGGTACTTTGGGATTTTCAAACTACTTTACATATGTTCATTCATTTTATTATAGGGAGTAGTTTATAATCTGGTTGTAGAACAAAGGTATATTAATAGAGGAATTAAGAGATAATATTCATGAAAAGCAATATAGCATGGTGAACTGGTCTCAGAGCCAGGAAGATCTAAGTGCTTTAGGCAATTCTCTAAGATTACAAAGTTGCTGAGAAAGTGATGATCTCAATAGCAGAGGAAGTTCCCTCAATAGGGAATTCACTATTATCAGTGAAATTACAGATCTAGTCAATATCCTTGTCCAACTACAGGACTGAGTATCAGATTAATGGCATGGAAAATGATAGTTCAGAGGATGAAGAGTTAATTATGGGTCAGGGAAGACTTCATGGAAGAAGTGAGACTTGGCACTGAGTGTAGAAGAAGTATGTACATGACTTTAATAGGAAGATAAGGGAAGATGGGGTAGATGCAGGGGTGTGCTGGAGCCAACTCATACTCATCTGTGAGACCCAATTGTTAAATTTTCATTTTGAGCGTTAATACCACAGAGAAAGGCAAATGCTATAAATCAGGACTTGATTTGTTATTTTATCGATTTGAAGACTTAAAAATTTTTTAAAGGCTTTTAAAAGTGATTTTTTAAAAAGTTAATAATGGGGATTAAACTTAAAAGTGTGTCATGAGTACACTTTTTTTTTTCTGACAGCCAGTTGCTAAACATTTACCAGCACAAACCTAAGTAGTTGTGATATTTTGGATAGAAGAAACAACATAATCAAAGATGACTGCTCAGTTTGGCTGGTATGTACCAGAAAATGTGTAAAAGAGTTGTGGGCAAATTGACTGGAAAGGTATGTCGGCAGCAGATACTAGAAGGCCATAGATGCCAGCAAGCTTATAGAGTTCAGATTTTATCTTTCAGGCAATAGAGAATCATTAAGATTTCTGGAATAAAAAATGGGCATGATTAAAACAGATTTTGACAGATCTGACTGAAATGTGTATGATATAGTAGAGAGTGATAGGAGGCAAGGAAACCAATAAGTACTGTATTAATTTAGAGATAAAATGATAAAGGTCTGGACTATGGCAATGGCAGAATGAAAAATAAGACTGTCTATGTGACATTTCAATGGAAGAATGAATAGAGATGAATGATTGCTATGATAGAAGAGGGATACAGAAGAATCAAAGATCCCTCCTAGTTTTGGAGCCCAGATGACAAGCTGACAGTGAGGCCATTAGCAAAAGGTTGAAAGTCATGATGAGGACTCAGTTTAGGGTGAGTGGGGTATGATGCATGAAGTAGCAGACATACTGAGTGTTAGGTGATTGCACAGTACTCAAAGGGAAATGTCAACAAGTAGTTCAAGATGTGGAAAAATCAGGAGCAACATTTAATAGGAGAGAAACAGAGCCAACAAAGAAGACAGAGGATTTATTTGAGATAACATTTTAACAAACTTTCCATAGTGAAACAAGAAATATTACATTTTTAACTATGAACTTGTAGAAATGGCAACTCATATTTACCTTTACAGTCTAGTTCATCGGAATTATCCCCACAATCATCTTCACCATCACATAACTTGCTATTTGGAATACAACGTCGATTATAACAGTGTTTGAAACCTCTTCGGCAACTTCTGTTTTCTATTAATTAAGTTGATAAAAATCAACAAAATTATTTAAAAAGTAGTCTATATTTACAAAGGGTATTAAGCATCTACATTCTTACATTGTCCCATCTGATCCACACAAAAACGTTTTGATGTGGGTAGTACACAGACTGCCCCAAAAGTCTCAGTGAAGTGGTAAACTTTAATAACTTCCAAAGTACAAATGCTGTAAACTTATAGAAACATGATTTGAAATTTTAATTATTTCAATTAATTTTGTATTTATTTAATTTCATGAATTCTAACAATATAAGAAAGTACAAAGAATACACAAAAAGTACAAGAAAGAACATCTATCAGTTTACATTCTGCATGTGATAGTTTCTGATTGACACTAGAGGAGGTTTTCTTGTATGACCACCCCAAACACCTGACCTATATACATTAGACTTTCTCCAGTGGGATGACATCAAAACTATCACGTATGCATCCAAACCTCATTCTCTGGATGACCTTGAGGCTACTTGTATCCTTTTAGTTACTAAATAGTAGCTGATAACAAATTGAATTGTAATAAGAAAGACATCAATATTTTGAAATTTTAAAAATTAACTGTTCAAATGTTAACCCTTGAACATCTGTAACATTTATGTTCTTGAAGTTATTAAAACTTAAAATTGTACTCAGACTTATTATCTTCATTTTACAGAAGAGGAAAGTTAGTCTCAGATGATTAAAGTGACTGGGTGGAGATTACAGGGCTAGTAAGACGACTCTGAAGCCAGTGGTTTTACCAACTGTGACCCAGAATGCCTCTTGATACGAAGGCCTCCTGACACAGTATTCTTGGCTATATCAGGGAAAGAGGAAAGTCAACAGAGAGAGAACCAAACCCAGTGTAGATGGAGTCAGATATTAGCCAGAAAGAAACTATCCTCCAATCTTTTGTCTCTTCTATTTTCTCTATGAAAGACAATGATCTTCAGACCTGGTAGCACTTATAGTAGAAACATACTTAATAAATATTTGAATTTCAAGAGAAATTAATTTAAGTCCTCAATAAATTTGTAACTCAATCCTAGTGACCTATATTTCTGGGTACTAAAGGAACTTTGGAATATGAGAGATAAGCTTCTCTTGATAACCTCTGAAAAGAGAATTTACTTTAGGACCAGAGCTGGACAAATGACTCAATTTCCAAATAAGAAGGAAAGTGTATTCTTAAAACTATAGACTGCTGAACTTAAGTTGAATTCCTGCCCATGTTCTAAAATATATTATTAAAGGTACAGTTACTGAATTCTTATTGGGGATTTTATGTAAATAAATCCCATAATATACTTTTTAAGAAGATAGAGAGTTGTGGGCTGGAGGATATTACAGCTAGGTAGATTTGAAAATGTTCTGAAAAGTGGTGATTAAAGTAATGTAAATCTAGAAAGACATCTTTGGTAGAGTGTCCCAGTATTATGTCATTAGCCCTGCTCTGGACAACATTCTACTTTAATGGTGATAAATGAACATTGTCATCAACGTTGGTCACTATGCCTCTCAGGTCTACTGAAAATGTGATAAGCATGACATCTATATATGCACTAAGCCACTGATAAAAATTTTTGAACAGCACAGGACCAAGTATGGATCCCTGTGGATTTCCATTAGGGACCTCCTTCCCAGCCTACAGTGATCCATTAATGACTACTTTTAAAGTCTCATATTGATTTCTCATTCCACTTAACTATACTCTGAAATAGCCTACTTCTATTCATCTTGCCTATGAGTATAATATGAAATTTTGATAAATGCTTTGTTGAAACCTAGATAAATGAGGTCTAAAAAATAACCCTGACTATGAGTCTAGTACTGCTTTCAGAAGAGGAAATGAGGTTAATTTAGCATGATTTTTTTTCTATAAATCTATGATGACTCAGCGATCATTGCTTCTTTCTAGATGTTCACAAGTCATTCCTTTGTTAATACATTTTAGTTATTTATAAGGAATTGAACTCAAGCACATCATAATTTTCACAATCTGTTCTTCCTCTTTTTTTTTTAAATTAGAACAACAGTTGCCTTTTTCCAGTCCTGTGGCACTTCTCCTCCACTTCACTTCCTTCAAAGATAAGTGATTGTGCCTCAGCAATCACATTTACAAATTCTTTGGGATCCTGTGATATAATCTGTCTGGCTGTGGTGAGTTGAAGTCATCCAGTGCAGTCAGGTGTTCCCTTATTCTTTCTTCCTCGTTTATCTTAGTTTTGAACTCTTTATTAAGCATTTATGTTCTATTTAGCATTGATTGGTAGAAGATTCCTTCCCAGTAGTTAAATGAGAAATCTATCTATAAAGTACTGAAACCAGGGACCTGAATTTAAAGGGCAGAAGGAAAGGTAGCATGAAGATTGATGGCCAAGTAGGTTATAACATGGATCCTGGTAAATGTGAGGGCAGTGAATGGAAGCAGTATGTGAATGCCATCAGAGAATTCCAAGTTCTTTTATTCAGGAGGAAAAAAATAATGTACTCTATCTTAATATGCTCATAGACAATATTCACCTTTGTAAAACATTTTCATGAATGAATTTAAGAAATACAATAAAATAATCTTGTAGAAAACAATCACTTGAAAAAGAATCAGTAATATCACTAGAAAAATAATAATAAAAACAATAATAATAGTGCTTTAAGGTTTACAGGCTCATTACATACATTATCTCATTTGAATAGTAAAAATGTGTTTAAGACACTTACCACAGTATAGCAGTTTCTCATCAGATTTATCCTTGCAATGAACAATGCCATCACAGGTTAGTTGATAGTCAATGCACTCACCATTCCCACATTCAAACTCAGAATAAATGTTGCAAGATGAATTCTTAGCTAGAATGAGAAAAAAAAATTATTTTCCCTGTATAAATTTTTGAAATTGAGTCACAAGTAATAATTGAAGAGTATTTGATTCTGTACACACTGATAAAGAAGTGCCAATATTTTATTTGAATAACCATATGCTAATGATATGTGGCATTAAGGAAATGGGGAGAGAATCATTTGGCTTGGGCTATAGATTCATGGCTCAGTGAGTATAGTGCTGAGCCTGAAGTCAGCAAGATTGGAGTTTAAACCCAGCCTCAGACACTCACTAACTGTGTGACCCTGGGCAAGTCACTAAATCTCTGTTTGCCTTAATCCACTGGAGACTGAAATGATAAACTGGTATCTTTGCCAAGAAAATCACACATAGGGTCACAAAGAGTGGGACATGACTGAATGACTGAACAACAATAACAACAAAATGGATTCAAAGGGTCCACAAATTTAGCAAGTAAAGACATTGTACTATAGAACGTTACATGTGCTTATCATTGTCAATGGTGATTATTAAAAACAACAACAACAACAACAACAACAACTTGATTTTGTCCCCTCAAGGTACAGTGGATATAGTAAGTGGTATAATGGATAGAGTGCCAAATACGGAGTCAGAAGATCTGAGTTCAAATCCAGTCTAAGACACTTACTAGTTGTGTGAATCTAGATAAGTCACTGAACTTCTTTGAGCCTCAGTCTCCTCACCTGTAAAGTGGAGATAATAATAGTATCTATCTCCCAGGGTTGTTGTGCCAGCACTTATCTCAGTGTCTGACACATAGTAGGCACTTAATAAATATTTACTGACTAATTATAACTGTTACAAGGATCAAAGAAAATTACATTTGTAAAGTACCAAGGAAACCTTAAAGAATTATATAAATTACATATCATAATATTTTATTATATAAAATTATGCTAAATTATATATAATTAGATATAAAACAAATTTATATATAAAAGAATTATATAAATACATAAATGTTATTATTGGTATATTTTTATAGATGAAAGCTAGGAAAGCATTTGTTAACTACATATATACATATATAACCTCATTTGATAGCTCATGCATTTTGTGCCTTATTTTGTTTTCATGGAACTTGTTTTTGTATGACTATGGGCTTTTTTTTAAAGTTATTATGAATAGGCTTCAGTATATTATAAACGATATGTTGTACATAAGTGGTTTTGTATTGTATGTGTGTGTGTATGCATATATAGATATGTATATATTCAAGATACATAAGATGAGAAAACAGTATAAGTTGGACATATATTAAGAGCAATTAAGATAACAGCTGGACAGACCAAATGTTCCACAACTACCCACATAATGTTCAAAGGCCTCCATTACATAGGGTGTCTCCTTTTTGGATGATTTATGGGAACACATCAACAAGAGTCACACAGATGGAGAAAGGGTGAAGGAGTTACAGTTTATATCAAGGGAGAGAGTAGTCACATTGATAAAATGACAGAGCCATTAAATCACCAAAGGAGAAAAGTTGAGGCTTCTAAAGTTGGAAGTAGGCAGGGCCTCTTTAGAGTTGTCTATCTTGGAATTTAATTTATAAGTGACTCTTGTAGACATACATAAAAGTAGACAATGCCGAAAACCTCCATTACTCCCTCTCAATGTTTTCTACCTTGCTTAATCAGCCCACCCAGACTCTGTTGTCCCTAGAACTAAAACTATTACTGCTATGTTAAGAGGCTGGAATCTCAATTATTCACACAGCCCTACCCCTCAGAGATACCCTGGGCCCATGGGAGGCCATGGGTTACTGGAGGTATCTCCAAATACTTTCTACCTTAGCCTTTTCCGTAGCACCTTAAAAACCTCTTTAGGAAGATTAGCTGAAGTCATTGATTTCACAATCTTCACTTTACCTGTCTTGCTTTTCACTAAAGTACCTGCCTCCTTGAACCAAATATCTAGTCTCCCACACCTTTCTTCTACCAAGCCCACACCTATTTCTTAACTAATAGCTCTCTGTCCAAATCCCTGATAGAATCACTTGAAAGGAAAAGAGGAAAGCAGAGTTCACAGTTGGTAGGATTGAGGGTGATGAGTTAGGGGGCAGAATAAGAAATATACTAATGTAATTTCTAGGTGGAACTCAGAATGAATCTTCATAGAATCAACACCGTCAATTATAATATGACAGTGCTGACTAACTGCATACCTCCAACATGCAAGAGACTAACCCTTTGGTATTATTGTTAGTGGTGATGTAGAGTTACTTCAAGGCAGAGCTACCTATTTGGATAATAGATGCCTGAGACAATTTACCTGGCCTAGCAATAGTGTTTTGACCAGTTCTCAGAAGCCAAAGAATAAAGCAGGGACTTTAAATAAAGGAGAAGCAGAATTAACAGCTTTTGGAAAGAGTGAAAACACATAAGTAATACATAGTCAAGAGTCATGTTTAGGAGTCCAGGATCAAAGTAAATGGAAATATCCTGGGCATCCCAAAAAATGTTTCAGTCCAGTTTTAAGCTTTAATAGCTTAAAATGTTCATAGCTTAAAGTTTTAAATTATTAATGGTTAAAATTGAACTAAGACTTTTGGGACACTTTGTCTTGCTATAAGGCTTGAGAGCCAGAGTTAAGGAGAGTAAAAGTTACGCTCACTTTCCAAAGCCAAGGTCCAGATAACCAGATGCCACTATCAGATGACTAGAATGGAACAAGACGGCACCGGAAAATTCTCAAAACAAACACTGAAATAATTTTACCATCTTGGCTTTTAAAGCTGGCTGTTCAGGGGTATGAAGAATTTAAAGCTCTGTTGACCCATGGAGCCATGTGAGGCCTGATAGGTTGTATATTACTAGTAGCAATACCATTCAGCTGTATTATAGGTAAATAAGCCTTCATGGACTAGACTGAAAATCTAACTACCTTTTATAACTTTACTTCTATGGGAAAACATATCATGAGGTCCAAACCAATGAATTGACATTGAATGTCTGGGACATATGTTCCCTGTGCTCTTTTTTTTTAGCACTCCCAATCAGTGCCATGTTGATTCATTCACTAATGAAATTTGACCTTATTAATTATGGCTGAGCTAATTAGAATCCCATTTATCTATTCTAATGCAGGAAAGTTAGCTTAATTTTTTTTTAAAATTTGTTCTCATTTTTAATTTTAATTATTCTTGATTTCTTACTAATCCTTCTTCTGTAGCCATTTAATTGAGACAGTATTAAAGTCACTGATGTTGTTTGAGCTTTCTAATGTTTAGAGGCTTTATTTTTTAACTATTACTTGGAGTTAATACAGCTATCTCCTCTACCCTGATCACACTTTGCAAAATAATGCTTACTTCATTACTTCAGGTATCTGCATTTCACTGTAATATTTACTAAATGAGTTGGTGGCTTAGCAACTGGTGAAAAGCCTTTACAATTTCTCAGGATTTATTAGAATCAATGTACTCATAGTCATGCCACAAAAGGATATTTGTGAAAGTAACTTTCAGCAAAAGTGTCAAAGACAGATCTTAGTAAATTCCTAAGGCCTTTTCACACAATACCACTTCCATACCTTTGCACTGCCTGTCACAATGCATGGAGTACACTCTCTCATAGATTCCTTCATTTCTTTGAAGAGGCAGCTCAAGAGTCATCTTCTACACAAACCTTTCCTTGTCCCCCTACAGCTTCGAGTACCCACTCCCACAATATCACCTTTTATCTATTATTTATATCCGCACATAAATGTCTATCCTGATAGTGTGTAAAGTTTCGGTGGCAGAGACCATGCCACTTGCTTGGTTTTCCCAGCACCTAGCACGGTGCCTAAAATACAGTGGACAGCAATGCTTGTTGATTGACTGGTTGATTGAAAGTTCCATACCCAGACCTTTTATGCCCTTCTATTCAATCCTCCCCATTATTTCTCCTTTTATAAGCACCACTAAGAAAGTCAAAAATAGATGAGGCTTTGGGACAGTGGATAGAAGGATGAAGTAGGGATCCATAGACTGCTTTTATCAATGACTGTTACAAGAAGCTAAAGACTCCAGTGTGTTCCAACCTGGGAGAATGTTATACCAGTGGTGTAGAAATCAGTGCCCAGCCTCACCAACTTTTTGAAGCTGTACAACATGGCTATTTAGCAGGCTTGGCAGTTGTAAGAAATTCAGCAAGAGTCTATAGCCCTGTGTTAGTACAACTGTACATGTTAGAATTGATGGCAGCCTGTCTGACCCACTCCCTCTCACCAACAGAGTAAAGCAGAATGGCATAATAGGGACAGTTTTATCCAGTCTATTTTACTGCTAGGCTAGGTCTGTGCAGTACACAAATAAGCCTTGCTGTTTTGATTGAAGGCAATACTTTGCTTCCAACCTGTGGTGACCTGTGAAGAAACATGAGTGACTCTAATGCTTGGCTTATGCCAAAGGCTTACAGAAGGGATTGGATCCACAATATTAAGGCTGTGACTATAAAAGCAAACTGAAGTGGGCATTTTCCACAATTATCTGAGTATTCAGGAAGGAATTGCTCGTAAGAGAAAAGGAAGATTTGGGAGCCTGAATCACCTAGATTGGCTGCCTATACTTATAATTCACAGCATGTCACATTCACTTTGATGTAGGCTAGGAATAAATCAGCCTTTCTATATTTATTTCTCCTTTCTGCAAGGAAGAGATGCTTTTATGTTGAAGTTCCACTCAGTAAAATGAGGATGCACATGCTCATGTTTTTAGATTTACCTCACCCTTACGAGTCCAGTAGTTCTTCATGATAAGATAATTGTACTACCCAGAAGCTATAATATACCCCTGTTAGGTAGGTCATTAATACTGAGCTCAGAAGTATAGACTTCACCAAAGATGGGGCCGAATAACATTTTTTAACATCACTTCATTGCTGGGTATTCATTTTTATGACCTTGATATGCAGGGACCAATAAGGTTATTATTACTTTCAAAGTTGAGGAAACAACAGACAAGGAAATAGACTTTGAGAAGGAAAATGTTAAGGAATTCCCATATCCTGAGAGTTGGGTTCATCATTTTCTGATAGAGGTAACTCTACTTCCTATCTTCTTTGAATAAATTATCCTCAATCTAGTCAAAGGAAAGGGTCTGTTTTTCTGCTGTCTGCTGTCCTGGAAAGATCAGAACAGTCAAACCTTTATTTATTTTGTAAATGGAATTGGAAACTTTGCTGTTAATAAGTATATAGTGTAACTGTGCTAATTAGAGACTGGAATCGCTTTTGGAAGCATAAACATCATGCAGTGCCGCAGCGCTACCTTCTTAATTAACAGTATGAAAAATACAGCAAATAGGTTGTGTGATGCATTCTCTCTCATTTACATACTGTGACTGACTGGAAGTGGTTTCATCTCAAAGCTCCTGATCCATCGTCTAAACACACTATATTTTTCATTTACCTTTAATTAAGTTGAGAAACCTGTGCATTCAGAAAGCCCAAATTGTGCAGTCTCAACTGATGAATGAGGAAAGGCATTTGTTATGCTAGCCTATAAACCTGCCACTCCATGAGAATGACATAGGCCAATAGTACCTTTGTTAACATTTGCTAATCCAATGGCATCTCTGTGATAGAGCTAAAAAAATTAGTGGTAGCAGAGAACTTAGCTGGAGAGTAGCATCAATCAGCTGTCTCTAATGTTTGGAGAGAGTTCTGAATTTCCAGCCTTATGCATGTAATGAAGCCATCCCGATGGTCCCTATGTGTGATTCTGAATAACTGCCTCATTTCATATTTCAGTTCCTATTACTTACTCACACATCTGTTGTCATCTAACAATATCCGATCTCCCCTGCATGAACAATTCACCCTCCCATCAGGCGTCAAAAGGCACAGGTCATGGCAACCTCCATTTGCTAATGCACACGGAGAAAGTTCACCTGCAAAGTTTTTGAAAAAAGCTTCTATTAGTCAGCACCACATACCTAATGTGCACTGTAAGTAGATCCCTATATTAGGGTCATCCTAATGATAAACTGACCATAGATATGTCCTAAACAAAGGAGATTTAGAGCCGAGTGTTTTTTCCCCCAAAGGTTACACTAGGCAAGATTGTCTAATGGAATCATTGCATAACTCTAACAAGTTGAAAAGTGCACACAAAGCCAAGAATGGTATGAGATCAAAACCTCTAGTACAATGAAAATCACATAGATATGGAAATATAGCACTATAAATGGAACAATAGGAGGTTCGAAGGAAGTTATAAATTCATTTACAAAATGTATCTACCAAAACATTTTAATTTTCAATGTAAGCAATTCAATTTGTCTCTTTAGTCAAGGATATGGAGGATGAAATAGAGAGCTATGAAATGGCAGAAACATTAATTTATGAAAAAATTGATCTAAATGGATATTACTAAATGAGCCAGATTCAGTGTGGTAGCAAATGAACTAAGTTTAGAGACAATATTAACTCTTTCAAGCCAGTCTGGTATATGAAAATAGTAAAATTATGAATGATAATGCAATTGTTTCAGTCGTCTCAGAATTAATGCCCAACTTATGAGGAAATCTGGGCAAAATTTGGTGTACTCTATAATTAAGGAATCATGATATTTTCCATCCCAACTCACAGCTATTTGTATCATTGGCCACAGCGATAATGCCCATTGGCTGGTGCGGTATGTCAGAACGAAGAACCTTTGTATCTCCTCCTGTGTATTTATTTGAGCGCAGAATTGCTCTTCTTCCCCAATCCGACCAGAAGATATAATTGTCATAAACAGCCAAACTGAGGAAAGTCCCGGGTCCAGATTTCACAATTACCTGAAGTAAATGACAATAAAACAACATTATATACATTAGACATACTGCTATACACTATTTTAAGAACTCTTCCTTCAAAAATCTTGCAATTTTAATCATGGAATAAGAGATAACCATATGAAAAGTTAATAAAATATTAAAATTATAGTGCACAGAAATTCCACAAGTTAAAATCACAGCTTAATTCAATTCAGGTAATATTTATTAAGTATTTAACATGTGTAATTCATGGAACAGCCACTAATTTCTATAGGATATTAGCTGAGCAGATTCTTCATCATTTCTTTTTCTGGTGTGGATTGTTAGGTTGATCTTTTTTGACTGATTATGGATTTCACTGAGGAAGAGACATGCTATTATTCTGAGACTCAATGTTATTAGCATGATCCTTTCTACAGACAAGAACACATGGAGGGCAAGAATACTTGTGGAAGGCTTCTGGAGCAAGAGATTAGATGTGAGTTACACCTTGATGACTGGGAATGATTTGAATATGTAGGTGAGAAGTCAGTCAGGAAATGTTTATGAAGCATCTTCTATAAGAAAGATACTGTACTAAACCCTGGGGATACAGAGGAAAGTAAAAGGCAGTTCCTGGTTTCAGGTACTCAAAAAATGATATATAAACAAGATATAGAAAAGATAAAATGAAGATAATGGAGGGAAAGCACTAGCATTAAGGGCAATAGGGAAAGGTTTCTAGTAGAAGGTAGGATTTTACTTGGAACTTAAAGGAAGACAGGAGGCAGAGATGAGAAAGGAGAGAATTCTAGGCATAGGAAGAGCTGGTAAAAATTCCCAAGTCAGGAGATGGAAAGTCTTGTTCAAGGAATAGCAAGGAGTCTAGAGTTACTAGACTGCAGAGTATGTGGAGGGAAATAAAGCATAAAAAGACTGGAGAAGTAGGAGGGAGTTACATTATGGAAAAAAAATCACTGAACGTCAAACAGAGTATTCTATATTAATCTGGACATGATAGGGAGCCAGTGGAGTTTATTGAATAAGGTTAGGCGATCTCATTAGAACTGGACTTTAGGAAGATCAATTTGACAGCTAAGTGGAGGATGGAATATAGTGGGAGATGAGACAGGGAGACCAATCAGAAGCTTATTGTATTAGTGCAGAAGTAAGGTGGTAAGAGCCTGTACCAGAGTAGTGGAGAGAGGGGGAGAGAAGAGGATATATGTGAGAGATGTTACAAAGTAAATATAGAGGAAACTTGACCACTGATTGGCTATGGGACACGGTGAAAGTGAAAAGTCAAAGAGGACACTCAATAGGAGGATATCTGTATCCCTGACAGTAATAGGAAAGTTAAGAAGAGGGGAGAGTTTTGGGGGAAAGATAAAGAGTTCATTTTGGGACATGTTTAGTTTAAGATGCTTAGTGGACATTTAGTTCAAAATGTCCTATAGGCAGCTGATGATGTGACACTTAAGATCAAGCAATAGAGATTAAGTCTGGAGAAATAGAAACATGAATCATTAGCATGAGATGACAGTTCAATTCAATTTTCATCTGATAATTGATGACTTGATGAGATCACCAAGTAAATTGTTGTAGACAGAGAAGAAAAGAGGGAGCAGGACAGAACCTTTGAAAATACCCAAGGTTAAGGAGAAAGACTTTGATGAAAATCCAGTGAAGACTGAGAAGACAGGTGGGAGGAAAATGAGGAGATAACAGTGTCATGAAAACCTGGAGAGAAGAGAATGTTAAGAAAAAGTGGGTGAGCAAAAGGGCCAAAGGCTACAGAGAAATCAAGAAGGATGAGGATTGAGAAGAGGCCATTAGATCTAGCTATTAAAAAGTCACTGGTAACTTTGGAGAAAACAGTTTTAATTGAATAATGCAATTAGAAGCTAGATGCAGAGAGTTAAAAAGAGAGGGAGAGGAAAGGAAATGGGGGCACTATTTGGAGACAGCTTTCATAAGGAATTTTGCTAGGAAAGATGACAGATACAGGAAGATAGTTTCCCATGAAAGATTAAGTGAGATTGTTTGAAGATGGGGCAGAAATTGTCATATACCAACAAAAGGTTAAAAAAAAATTAAGACAATTCAATTTAAGCAACATTAAATGTCTAATCTGTGAAAGACATTGTTGTAGACATGAGGGGTACAAAGATGAAAATAAGTCTTGACTATGTATTCAAGGAATTTCCATTCTTCTGTGGAGATTAGCAAATGTATTAAGAAAATACATGATAATTTGTAGTGGAAATATCACTAATGATTGTGGGAGTAGGAAACATTTCGGTTAGGTATTGACACCTCAGCTTTAAAGGAAATTAAGAATTCCAAGAGGCAGAGGAGGAAGAATGTTATTTTAGAAATGGTGTATAGTCTAAGCAGACACAAATATGGTCCATTTGGACATTATGGACAATTTGGAGGAAGAACCAGTAGGACAATTTGAATGAAAACAAAAATAAAAAGGAAAGCAATTCCACATACTTCTGGAAAAATAATAAATAAAACAACAAATATTCATTAAGCACCTATCATGCTACAAGAATTGTGCTGGTGCTGGGGACCCACAGACAAAGTCATAGCACTATCTGCTCTTAAGAAATTTATATTCCAATAGGGAAGATAGCATGTACAAATAGACATGTATATACAGAATGCATTTTTAAAAATGAATAAAAGGTAATGGGGGAAAACTACTGGCAGCTAATGAAATAGGTAAAAGGAAATATGAGGTGGTTTTTGAGCTAAACTTTGAAGAAACTAGGGATTCTAAGAAGTCGAAGAAAGGGGGTACATTTCCAGGAATGAGAGGTATTGGAGATAGAAGATGGAATGTCATTAATGGGTAAAAGCAAAAAAGCTCTTATTCCTGGATTGCAGAATATAAATAATATGGCATGATGAGTAAGATTCAGAGAGGAGAGGGCTTTGATGGTGTTTTTGTTGTTGTTCAAGTGTTTCTATCATGACTCCATTTGCTGTTTTCTTTGCAGAGATACTGGAGCGGTTTGCCACTGCCTTTTCCAGCTCATTTTACAGATGAGGAAGTGAGGCAAACAGGGTTAAGTTGCCCAGGTTCACACAGCTAGTAAGTGTCTGAAGCCAGATTTGAACTCAGGAAGATGAGTCTTCCTGACTCCAGGCACAATATCCACCATGCCATCTAGCTGCCTCTCTAATGATATACACTGGAGAATTTGAAGTTCACCCTAGAAGCAAGAGAGAGTCATGGACGATTTTGCAGCAGAGGAGTGATAGAATCATTCTACCAGAGATATAGCCATATAGGATTAGAGTCTAAATTAAGGCTTGAATATATGAATCTCAGAATCACTGTATAGAAATAACTGAACCTATGAGAGCTTATAAGACCATTAAAAGGGAACCTATAGAGAGAAAAGAAAAGAAAGCATGGGACAGACTATGTTCCCTTGCTCGAAGACACCTACCAAAACTGGATCTATTTAATGTTATACTCTCATAACCTATAAAATAGGCACTATTACTGTCCTTATTTTATAGATAAGGAAACTGACTGAGAGGGGTTAAGTGACTTGTCCAAAGTCATACAACTAGAAAGTGTAGAGGGCAGGAGTCAAGATCAGGTCTTTTTGACTCTTAAGTCCACAACTCTATTCACAATGTCGCTTAGTAAAGCCTAAAAAAGAAACTTTCAGAGATACAAATACAAAGTATATGAATAAATTATATATATTTTTAAAAATGCATAGATTTTGTATATCTATGGAAATTAAACATGTGTCCATCAGAAGAAGGAGGAGGAGGAGAAGATGATGATTCGTTATCTTATTACTAAGAAGTCAGTTTGGACCTGAATATAGTAACTTCTATGAAGTTTAAAACTGATTGGGTCAACTTATTATTTTTTTTTTTTGCTTCTCATGAGCACAGGGAGAGGGGGAAAATGAAATTTTAATTCATTATGCATCTAAACTTAATAAGATACAATAGTTTTCACTAAGATCAAAGATGACTCCAAAAAACTCATTTAATTGGTGAAAATTCCAGTATAGAATAAAGAAGTGATATCCACTAAATTACATCCTCCCTTTTCTATATTAGACATTTCTATCAATAGTTCACAAATTCTGCACATTGAGACTCTAATCAGCAATTTTAATTACTGAACAGAGATTCCTGTCATAATAAATTTCACTCTAGTTTTATGTATTAAATGTGCCATTATTTCATCACTTTAAATCACATTTGCCTCTATGATATACCCAGGCAAATACTTCAGATATTTAATTCATTCCCATTCAGAAAATGTACTTCTATACTGTGGGTAAATAACCAGTTGTTAAACCCTTACCCTATGCTAAGTGCTGGGTATGAAAGTACAAAGAAAAAGGACAGACTCTGACTCCAAAGCTTACATTGTAATGGAGAAGAGAAGATATAAAGGGAAGATGAATAGGAGGTTGGGGAGAGAAGGTACCTGGCTTGGGGGCATAATGAAAAAGTCCAGAGGAAGGCAGCATGGGGGGAAATGAAGAAACAGTTGGCCTAGGCACCGTCCTTAAATGGATGTTCAGGGAGGAGCCCTTTACCCTCCAATCAAAGAGAGTGGCCCAAGGGGCAGAGGTACAAGTTCCAGGGCTGAAGTGATGTACCAGGATGCAGATGCACTTAACCTTTTGTGACTAGAGGATAGTCCTCTGAATCTGCCAATGGAGATACAGACTTGGCCTCAAAGCTGCTTATCAGAAATTCATTGTTTCTAGTCACATACACTTTTCCTTTTGCAGCTCCATTGTTGCTCTTTTGGTGGAAGCCTTGGCATCAGCCATAGAATATAAAAACATTCAGTTTTCAGTTCAGCAATCCTACATCCAACAACCTAAATACTAAACACTAAACAAAAACAACTTAAAAGCCAAGTGAACAGGAGGTGCTCCAAATGCCCAGCTGATTGCCTCGCTGACAAGATCATGAATGATCATTATGAGAAATGACAACTTGGCCCCTGCAATGGCCCTGCATGACAAAATGAGGCAGATTGCAAA